CCAGCATGTCAGCAAGGGCTGAATCATCTAGAGTGGCTGAAGGGCATTTCCCCAAACCTGAAAAGGGATGATTGTTTGCTGCCAGACAGCTCAGGGCATCTTAATCTACATGTTATTGCCTCCTACTGGCCAAACACCTGAACAGCCTTAGGCTAATTCTTCCAATCTGACAATGGACTCTGTAATTGAAGCCTGACCCTTTGAAGTGTATATCTCTGCCTCGCCTCAGGACAATTTGTGTTAATAAAACGCATGGGGTCCTGAGATGAGGAGATCTTAGTTTCTTTAGCTAGGCTCCTCAAAGAAACTTTCAGTTACACACAGCCCTTCTCCAGATTGCTGAACCCTTCTAGATGCTGGAACAAGAACCCTGGCACTTGACCACTGTTCCTTTTAGTTAATAAACTGTGGAAGTAAACCTGTTCTTCTGAAGGAAGATGTGTTTCTCTCTTACTATCTTCTTAAAAACAATTTATGAACACAATATAGCCATTTAAAAAAAAATCTTATATGGACTTAACCAATAAAAATAGCATCTATCTAAATGGTAGAAGGAATGATTTTTAGGAAACAATAAAATTACTGTAGATTTGTTCTATGACTTATTACAGTCACTTAACTTATTGGAAGTCACTAACTTATTTAATAAATTCTCAGAAATAAATTGTGAAGCCTAGAGTTGAACGCTAGTTGTAGTTATATATATAAACAAATGATAATCTAAAAGTATAATGTTTGTATTGAAACAAATTGAAGCTACATTTGTCTCAATTATTTGAAAATAAACCATTTGTTGATATATGTTGGCTAATATTGGCAATGGAAATGGTTTTCAATAAATTCTAAATAATATTTAAGCTGGGTGATTTCTGGGAACTGTCCATTTTTATTAGAGAGTCTGAAAATAAAATTTCTTTCACCAATCTGTTATGTTCTCACACAATATTTATGAAATTCAATTCTGTTCCATAGATTTCTTAAAGCTCAAAATATAACTGTCTGTAAATCTCACTTCTCTATAATGAATCTTGGAATAAGAAAAAGAAAAAAAATATGTCTGAGCTTCAAAAATAGATTTCACAAGTCAAAGTACTAAAGCCCATGTATTTCTTTACTCAGGTGGCTCAACAAATCTTTTATCAGTTTCTGTCTACTTTTGCTTAGCATATAATTAAAACATTTTTGATTATTTGTATCAAGGCTGACAGATTCAAAACAAGATCAGTGGGGAAGAAACCGGGTGCTACTTAAAGACAAATTAACTGTGATCAAATAAACAATTGAGACTATATTTAAAACAAACCATATGATCAATGAACTAAAATACTATATTAGTCATGGATTATACAAGAAAAACAAATCTATAATCTACTGTATTGTAGAAAGGATAGGAAACTGACACCCATGAACATGAACCACTTTCATAAATGTAATGTTACATTATTTTTAATAAATTTTTAAAGTAAGGATCTGTGTAACAACACAGAGATCTGGGTAATAAAAATATTTAGATAGATTTTATTCTACATAGACAAAAGTAGGCTTTTTAGAATGGACAGTACCAAATGAATCATTTTGTTTTACCTAATTCACACAGTGTCTTTGTTAACTGGGTTTTGTTATTAGCTAATACATCAAGGTTAAGATTAAATTTATGGCTATACTCTCAGTACTTAAGATGTTGCAACTAATCAGTTTAATCAAAAGATTTCATTGAACCTTGGGGATATCATTACAATCAATCAGTCATTGATTATTTTTTAATACTCTCAAAATGATATGAACCATTATATTCAGCCTCTGTGAAAATCTATAATTTTATGCACAGATTTTCTGATTAGAAAATGTCAATACATAAAGAGTAAGAGTTCACTAAGTTATTACAAGTGAGAAGAAAACTGTATTATTATCTCCCAATCACAAAAGGATTGGAATGAAAAACTTAGATTTATTTTCTTTGTGTTAAAAACAAAAGCACTGAAACAGATGGAAAAATCCATAAGAGAATAGTGCCTTTAAATAGAAGATGCAATGAAATATGCTGCTAAAAACTCAAGGGATAAATCACTCAGTTTTTCAGACCTTCTTTTATTTCTCTTTTAAAGTGATAAATTGCGAGGAATCAGTACATATGAAATAGAAACCTCTGTGCTTCTTCCCCAATATCACACAAGTTCAGAGCTAGAAAATGCCATCAGATACCTAGTTCAGTGATTCTCAAATAGAAATACACATCAAAATTGCAAGGAGTTATAAACTACCCAGGTATCTGTATCCATCTACTGAATCCAAATTTTAAGCATGTGTATTTTCAAAGATAAACCCCTAGTTAAAGAACACTTGAGCTCAATTCTTTCATTTTATTAAAATGAACTGATAACTAAAAGAAAAAATACTTATGTATATTTATGAAATATATATTTATGTATAAAATGAAAAGCTATCCTTAAATTAATAAAATAGTGCCAAAGATAATGAATTTGAGTGAATATTCTAATGCTTCTTCATTTTATGCTCCCAATAAGTCACTTATTATAAGTGACTTATAATAAGTCATAGAACAAATCCATGTCAAAGACAGAGGATCTCTAATGTCCTCTCTACTGTTTTAAGTTAACAAAACTTATAAGACGTGTAACCTAACCGAGTTACACAATGAATAAGAAAAAATTGATTTTTTGAGGTTCACTATTTCAGATGGTATTCTATAGGGCCTATGATATAAAAGCAATCTTTGTATACAACATAGCCATAGTAAACATTTTATAAGTGCTAAGACATTTGAGGCTTGACACATGTTGTCATGTTCCTATGTAGCTGAGAAATTATTGAGAATAAAATTCATTACCATCTTCTTTTGCTACCAAAATGAAATTTTATTTTTTCATCAAAGAGTATTTGGACAATTCTGTGTGTTTTGAGAATTCCAAAGCTCCCAAATTCTGACACTGAGTCAGTCTCCGTGTTAATTTCCAGCAAATGAGATTAAGCAAATCTTCATGAAGAGGGTGAGAGCAGGAACAAATGAAGGCTTTTGTATTCAGACACAGAACAGTTGGACTGAATCCTCACTGATGAAAGGTTAGTAATCAGAGAGGGAGAGCAGAACCTCAGGTTTCTAATTACCCATGCAGAAGGGACAATGGGGACCTGGCCACTAATTAGCTAAGCACTGGGAACCAGAGGGATGTAGAGAAGATCCTGGGAGCCAATTTTGGTATGAAAAGGGTTGGAATCACTTGGCAGATTAACCTGTCTCTGAAAGGAGCAGGGGAATGACACAACAGGCATTTTTGTAGCAGCCAAGATGAACTACGGAGCAAAGGCTGTTGCCTCATAATCCTGGCTCCAGCCACCCCCAGCTTTTACTCTACAACCCCAAAGGGAGGCAACAGGCAACTCTCTAAAGACTGACTTGGATTTTTCAGCCATCTGGTGGTGAAGGTGAAGGTAAAGGCAGTTTTATTGTGTGTGTGTGTGTGTGTGTGTGTGTTTTTCACTATAAAACTTATCAATTCAGTTCTGCTATTGCTCCTGAGTGTTAGGAGAAAATTTATATCTCTAGTATATTAGTATATATACAATGTATACATTTTAACATAGTTGTATGTGAATAAAAACTTTGTTCTTTCCACATGTTAGTTCTAGGGCACTCTTTTAGTTTCTCCTGCTGTTATCAAAATTAAGCATTCATTATTCATGTAAGATACAGAGGAAAATGAAAGTAAAATGAAAGGGAAAATACTAGAATAATTTGATCATACATATTTAAATAATCACAAAGAAACAGTTATTCTCAAATATGCCTAAGTAGTTACATGGAGGAATAAATCTTATTCTACCCATTCTTAACATTGCATCTCATTATATGCTAAGCACTAAATTTTTTCTGGTTTTATCCCATTGTTTTCTGAGGCTTACTGAACCATAAAAAAAGGAAAAGAAGAAAACTGGCTCACTGTTACAAAATACTTATCCTGGTTTCAAAGTCTTCCGATGTTTTATTTAAGCTCACATTCATGGTGCCACATATACTCGTAAGAAAATTCTGCAAAAGTGAAAATGTTTATTTAAAGCTACACTGCACCAAGTTCAAAGAAGAAGCAATCCTCACGTCTGTGATATGACCTGGATTGGTTTCGAGATTAGGACCCATACAAAAAGCAGACTGCTAACTCCTGTAGCCAAATGAGGGTGCCTTATAGATTGAGCAAAATCATTTTTCTGTTTATCACAATTACTAAGTATTTTTTTTTTCAGAAACATCACACTCCATGCCTTTCTTTTCTCTTCCCCTTCAAAGCCTTCAGCCTTTCATGGTTAATATTTTACCAATGAGTTGATGAAAGTAAATATGAAACTCAAATTGGGCCTTGCTATTTCAAAATTATCATTTTTTTATTTCTTCCTGCCTGGCTTAGTGTCTTC